CGTGCTGTTTGGGTGTTGGGGGGGGGGGGTCAACAGTGGGAGGGCTTCTAATGTCCTGGCCCCACTGGTGGACCTCCTGATGGCACCTGGTATTATTGGCCACTGTGTGACACAAGAGTGTTGGACTGGATGGGCCTTTGGCCTGATCCAACATTGGCGTCTCTTATGTTCTTATAGGGAGCAGAGGTCCATCAGTGGCTATCAGCCACAAGGTATAGATAGGGGCTCTGGGGCAAGGGATGCTCTGTCTTCTTGGTGCTTGGGGGGGGGGTCAACAGTGGGAGGGCTTCTAATGTCCTGGCCCCACTGCTGGACCTCCTGAGGGCACCTGGTATTTCTGGCCACTGTGTGATGCAGAGTGTTGGACTGGATGGGCCTTTGGCCTGATCCAACATTGGCGTCTCTTATGTTCTTATGTTCTTGTCCCTCCTCAGCCTAAGCTCAACAGTCCAGCCACTGAGCTACCCTGATGCTCCCTGTCCAACACTGATCTGTAAGCTAAGTGACCCAGGGCGCTGCTCATACCCCGGGGTGGAGGAGAACCATATACCCGGATGGCTCAAGGGCACGCAGTCCAGACACGGTCAACACCTGGATGGCAGACCCTCCCAAGAACTCTATGGGGGCCACTCACGAGTTCCACAATGGGGAGGGGAGGAGGAGGGCTGCAAAGGGGAATGCTCTCATCAGACGCTGCAAACGAAGCAAGCTCGGTCCTCGTCGGGACTTGGGTGGGAGACCGGCAAAGCAGGTTAGGGTAACGACACAGAGGAGGGCGATGGCAAACCGCCTCTGTTCGTCCTTTCTTTGAAAGCCCGATGGGGCCGCCATACGTTGGCTGTGTCTTAACGGCACTTTCCACCACCGTAAAAGGGAATAAGCCAAAGTTCTAATTCTAAAATGCACTCCCTTAGTGTATGGCTGATGGCACTGCTCCTCAGCATATATCGCCACCAATCAGAAGGCAAAGCCCGGGTCCCGCCCACACCACAACTGCTGCGACAACCTGGTCTTTTGCATATGGAAGCTGATTGGACTTCAGTCCATTCCACACCTCAAACTCCCCCCCCCCGCAAGGCAGTTGGGATTTTCAGTTGCATAACATACCTCATAGGGGAGAGGAGAATGGGTAACAATGGTTACCACTCTCCAGGTGAGGGCTACAGATAACTCAAACATACAAATGCTCTTCAGGTAGCAGAGATCAGTCCCTCTGGAGAAAACAGTGGACTCTGTCATTAAACCCTGCTGAGGTCGCCACAGGAAACTGACACTGTTTGCCCAAAGCCAGAGCACTCTCCCAGAGCCTCTTTCTAGATCCCGTTGTATTTATTTCCGCAATGGGCATTATTTCTAGTTGATGTATATTTCTGTTGTGTTTTGATTTACTTTGTGCTGTTATGGCCAATGGCTAAGACAATAAACGAAACTTGGAATAAACACTTCCTTGAAGTGCGAGTTTCTCTAGCCGGCATCTTCAGCTGTGCGAGTTTCTCTAGCCGGCATCTTGTCTCCAGCTGTGCAAATCCCTTTGCGCAGGATTCAAACGCGAAGCTCCCGGGGCAAAGCTAAGGACTGGGACACCTCAGCCAACCCAGTGGCACGGAGAGCCCGAACCCTGGGACTCCCTCGTCTCCCGGCACGGGGGCTGCCGAACCGGTAAGGTCCCCTCGATCCCGGCTCACCTGATTTCCTCGTTCCACTGGAACTTCTTCCGGGGCCCCATGATGCGCTTCCCTCCCTTATCGTCGTCGTCCTCGTCCTCGGAGCAGACCCGCTCCCGCAGCTCCTTGTCCTTTTCCTCTTCCAGCATCCTGAGTGGAGGAAGATGAAAGAAGAGCCGTACTGGATCGCAAGAGGCCTCCGTCTCACTCAGCTAGACAGCCCAGAGACAGCTTCATGCTCGAAAGGAAGCAAACACCCTCTCCTGCTGAGAGCCCCCCCCCCCCACCATTTTCCTTCCCCTGGGAACTAGGGCTGTTTCCCCTGGGAACCCACACAGCCACTGCCTTCCCTATGACGTTAACAAGCTTGCTTTTGAAGCCTTCAGTGCATCTTTTCCCACCCAACCCCAACAAGAGGAGTCCTGGAACGTGGAGCGGCCATTCTGCTGACTTCTAATGCACAACACCCCTTGGAAGCCTTGCCTGTCGTTCTTCTAGCCAGACTGTTGCAGGAAAGAAAGGGCGGAGGAGGAACCAGTTAAGGAAACCCTCGACAGTCCCGGGTACACAAGGGAAACCCCCAGAGTCTGGAAGGCACCAGGACGGAAAGGGAGGGGGGGGGAATCGGAAGCCTACTTGGCAAATTTGGCCTGAGTGTGCGCTTGACATTCCTCCTGGTACTTGGACATCTGCTCCGGCATCGCCCGGCTGATGGCTTCCTTGAGCTTGTGAAGACGCTCCTTCAGTCGGCCGCCCTGCCCAGAGCATAGCAGAGAAACAGCTTTTGCACTCAAGCAAGACCATCAAGAAGTTACTTCAATACAAGTTCAATTCACACCGGAAACACTGTTTTTAAATACCTGGCCATCAGAATTAATGAAGAGACCACATAAAGCAACTATCGAAATAATGCTAGAAGCTGCCAAGACCACAATTGGTACTCTTTGGAAAGATATTAAAGCTCCAACAACAGAAAATTGGTTCCGAAAATTATGGAATCACTATTTAATGGATTCTGTTTC